GGGTGTTAGTTCTATAAGGTCTTGTAGGTCTTCGTAGAACCATTCAACTTCAGCTTCTTCAGCGTTACTGGTTGGGGCATAGACTTGGATTACCGTGATACTGAATGGTTTGCCTTGGAAATGAACAGAGATCATTCTGTCATTTTTGAGATTGCATCCAAGTACTGCATTTCGCACTCGTTTGTTGACTATGATGGCTACTCCATTTCTTCTAAGGGATTCCTGCCCACAGTAGTAGATATAATGGTCACCTAAATTCACCCATTCCAGTCCATTTTAGTTCGCTGATTCCTAAAATGCTGACACTCACCCTTTCCATCTCCTGTTTGACCACTTCCAATTTGCCTTGATTCATGGTCCTAACATTTCAGGTTCCTATGCAATATTGCTCTTTACAGCATCGGACCTTGCTTCCATCACCAGTCACATCCACAACTTGGTGTTGTTTTTGCTTTGGCTCCATCTCTTCATTCTTTCTGGAGTTATTTCTTCACTGATCTCCAGTAGCATATTGGGTACCTACCAACCTGGGTAGTTCATCTTTCAGTGTCCTATCTTTTTGCCTTTTCATACAGTTTATGGGGTTCTCAAGGCAAGTATACTGAAGTGGTTTGCCATTCCCTTCTCCAGTGGACCACATTTCATCAGAACTCTCCACCATGACCCATCCACCTTGGGTGGCCCTCCACAGCATGGCTCACAGTTTCATTCAGTTAGAGAAGGCTGTGGTCCATCTGATTAGACTGGTTAGTTTTCTGTGATAGTGGTTAGAAATGTTTATTTCCGATTAGTTTGTTTTCCTTAGTTTTATCTATAATTTTTTTTTTACCCTTACAGCTAAATCTTTAAGCATTTAATAAACATCTATGATTACTTCTTTATAATAAATTCCTAAAGGTGGTACTTCCAGGCCACAACATACACTCAAATTGAAAGCTTTTAATATATATTGGCAAACTATCCTCCAATCATACCAATTTATATTTCAATTGGTAGAGGACAGTATTCTTAGGTACACTTGCTATTACAATGTAATCTAACCAACAAAAAAATCAGTAGAGAAGTACAAAAATCACTTCACAGTTATTTAATTTACATTTTTCAAAATCAGTAAAGATAAACATTTTTATATGTTTACGGTCATTTATAATTCTTTGTGAAGTACCTACCTGTGAATCTTTTTAAAGTGATGTCATTTTCCAAAGTAAGAAATGCAAGAGAAGTTGAAAGATTGTGGAGAAAATAAAAAATTCACTCTACTAATTTATTTTTTCCTAAATTAAACTAATACCCAAGTTATGGATGATTTTCCCAGATAAACTACTCATCTTTAACCTATAGTTTAAAGTAAACTATACCTCAGAAGCAGAAGGTTGTCTTGATATAATAATGGGTTCTTCATATATTTTTCTATAAGCTGACAAAGAGCCTAATATTCCTGGATTTACAAAATCAATTAATGTAAAAAATTCTTGGAGATCATTCTGAACTGGAGTACCTAAAGAGATAAAAGTGATGAGAAGGTCAGGTTTGTGTTTACAGTATGAGTTTTTATAGAAATTTGTACTCTCTTCCCTCAGAGGACTACATATAAGCAAAGTATCAAATTAAAAAAGAGCAGCTAAATCAAGTTTTTAAAAATTAATAATCATGTAAATGTTTAACTCTGGTTGTAACTGTGAACTGAAGTCTTTTATTTGGTACAGCATTTTGGCAGAGTACAGGCTCTAGAATCTGACTGTGCTGTGCTTAGTCACTCAGTCGTGTCCGACTCTTTGCGACCCCATGGCCTGCAGCCCGCCAGGCCCCTCTGTCTGTGGGAATTCTCCAGGCAGGAAGACTAGGGTGGGCTGCCACGCCCTCCTCCAGGGAGAGTCTGACTATCTGGGTTCAAATGCCACCTGTATCTCTTACTCTCTGAGTAACCTTGAAAAGTCACTCACCCCAATTTTATTATTAGGGTTGTGAGGATAAAATGAGTTAATTCATACACTAAGAACAGTGCCTGGAGCACAGTAATGTTCCATAGCTGTTAGCTGTAACTGTGTGACTCTGGACAAAGTTGCTTAAGTTCTTTTAAGTTAAACTGGGGGTAGTTTTTTCACTTAAAAAAGTGGAAAGATATAATTTCCCAGGATATTACAATGAAAAGTAAAGACAAAGGATGTGAAGTGCCTGACGTTTAGTAGACACAGTGAAAGGTACCTAACCTAATACCTTACAAAGTTATCAGATAAAATTGGGATCTTCACTAATCCTAAAGAGTGACAGAGACTCTAATGGATTGAAATACCCTGCACATACTACACGCTCAATAACTTCTGGCTAACTAATTTTCAAAGAAACACCAGCATGTTTCAATAATTACAATAATGTCAAATGAATATATAAGTCAGCACAGTAAAAGAGCATAATTTCAGATGAGTTTCAGATAAGAGACTACAAAAAGTTGTCCAAAGATATAAATAATATAAGAAGTACATAAAAATGCACTTATTTCAGTAACAAACGACACAAACTTTTACAATGTTAGGGATTTTTACGATCACTTTCTTCAAAATTAAATGGGTAGACCAAGGCTGGACCAATGCTTACTAATTTTTTTAATACATCTAGTTAGTTTTAAATTTTTTTAGACACATCACAGAGTTAAGAAAATATTATTTGTATTAATATGCATTTTGTTAAGCCTTTAAAAGAATCCATGACAATGACTGATAAAAAAGTGGGGGAACAGGAAAAGCAAGAAGGGAACAAAAGGTACAAGGGTCACTGTGACTGGCTTCCAGACAATCATCCAAATGATTAATCCAAGCTAATCATAGTAGTTCTGTCCCCTATGCCAATGACTGATGATAAGGAAGAGTTTGTCTCAAACTAAGTTCTAAGAAGAAGAGCCTGAGATACAGATTAGCTACACATGATTTATGGAGAAATGACTGAGGAGAAAAGGGAATCAGAAAAGGCAGGGAAAACAACTAACAGTGTAGCTTGTGTTAATTTACAGGGAGCCTTAGAGCAAAAACTGCACCATATAAAGCTGCTCCTGAAATTACCCTAAGGTGAAGGAGCTGGCATTTTCTACTTGCTGCTCTATATGAGTCTGAGCTACAAGGGAGAGAAGCAGCTCTCATTCAACCAATGATAATTCTCCAGATAAGGCAGGAGACACAAAGTCTTTAACCAACAGCCCCGGCAGCTAAGAGGTGGGTCCGACAGCTCAAAAAAGGCGAGCGAGGGAGGGTACTGACAGTGTCCGCCAAGAGTATGCGATCCATCTTGTCCAATGAGATATAAGAGGAAGTCAGGAGAAAAAGGCAGAGCCAGCCTGTTTTCCTTTAAACATCACCACATCTGGATGTGATGTCTGGAACTGCTCCAGCCACTTGTTATAAGCATAAGGACGAAGTCAACACCAAACACGGCACAGCAGAGAACAAAAAGAACCAGAATCCTTGACAACATTGTTGAGCTGCTGGATCACCCTGGAACCTGTCCTTGCTCTAGATTTGCAGTTGTGTGGGAGAATTAAGCACGTTTGATTCACGTATCTGTTACTTGCAGCTGAAATCACCCTGATAGACAAGTGAAAGAGGCAAAAGCAAAACTGGAAAACAGAAATGTGGAAAGAAAGAAAGGGGCAGGAAAAGGATTTAGGGCAGAAAATAATAAGGAAGTAGAGTAAAGAAGGAAAAGAAAAGATGGGTTTCCCTGGTGGTACAGTGGATAGGAATCCACCTACCAATACAGAGGATACAGGTTTGATCCCTGGTCCAGGAAGATTCCACACACCGGGGAGCAATTAAGCCTGGGTACAACAGCTGCTGAACCCGTGTTCCAGAGCCTGAAAGCCGCAGCTAGAGAAGCTACCATAAGGAGAATCCTAAGCGTGGAAAAGAAGAGAAACGCCTGCTCACCACCACTAGAGAAAGCCCACCCACAGCAACAAAGACCCAGTGCAGCAAAAAAATCATCAACTTTTTTAAAAAAAGAAAAGAAGGGGCTATAAGCTAGACAATACACTAGGATAGTATCATTCTGAGAAGTTGTCACAAATGTCATCTAGAAATACTTTAGTCCCCAGCTCGCTGCTTTTAGTATTCCTTTCTAATTCTAGACTATGTGGAACTTGTAGAAGAAGCTAAATAATATAACGTTAATGAGAGTTCAGCAGCAATGTCCTGTGACAAGAAAAAAGGAAACACTAAACATTTTTCAAGTTTGTGTATTTACTAAAATTATTTTCAGAGCTATGGAAGTGAAATTAAGAGAACTTTCTCTTCCCCTACCTCTATCCCAGCAATAAAAGCTTTTCATTTCATTGTTTACTTTTAAGGAGACATAAATCTACCACCCAACCCAAGTACAGCTATATCCATGTCTCTGATTTCCATAAAAAGGTATAAGAGCTCTTTATACATACTCTTACGTGTATTTTTCCTTTAGGTCCAATAATTCCACTTTCAGCAGTCTACATAGAAAAAAGTATGTACTTGTAGATATTCATCACATTTCAAAATTATGCAATATCATAGAAAAATGCTTACATTAAGTGTATTTTGATGTACATTGTGTGTCAATGAATAAAGATGGATTTTGTATGTACTGGATTGGCCAAAAAGTTCATTCAGGTTTTTCCATATGATCTTATGGGAAAACCCAAACAAACTTTTTGGCCAACCCAATATATACAAAAAACAAAGAAATATGCATGTATGTTCTCTGTGTGCATGTGTGTGTGTGTGTGTGAATAATGAAACATGACAAAATGCTAACAGCTCATTAAGAAACTGAGACTGAAGGATGACTTCCACACTCTAGTTTGTAAGCATGCCATAATACAGCAGTACATATATGTATCTGTATGTCTGTGTATGTGGTATATATTTTTAACTTTCAATCTTCAATAAGAATTTTGCTTCAAATCTCATATTTTTCTTTTTTATACTATAAATAAAGGATATCTAACATCTAATGAAAGGTTATCTAACATAATGAGATGTTACAAATTGACCTGTGTCCCCTCAAAATTCATATCTTGAAGTCCTAATTCCCAATGTGACTATATTTGAAAACAGGCCTTTTCAGGAGGTAAAGTTAAAGAAACTCATAAGGGTGAGGCCCTAATTCAACATGACTTATATTCTTTCAAGAAGAAAGAAAGACACAGGGATACACACATTCAGAGGACAGGCCATGAGAGGACCTAGCGAGCAGACAGTCATCTTCAAGGCGAGGAGAGAGGCCTCAGAAGAAATCAAACCTGCTGATAGCCTGCGACTGGACTTCCAGTCTCCAGAACTGTGGGAAAATACATTTCTGTCATTGAAGAAATTTACCACCCAGTCCATGGTATTTTGTTATTGCAACCCTAGAAGTCTAATATACCTCTACTAAATTTTAATTTAATTTTAATATTAAAATTTTCCAGGAAATATTAACTGAATATTCTTCACAGCACTGGGCCAGGTAAGACCAGGAAACAAAACCAAAATTACTTTCACTGGATTCTGAGATAGCTTTTGAGCACCTATTATGTATGCAGCACTGCACATACTCATAATCAAATGTTAATTCCATAATAAAACACAAATCACCTTGGGAGTAAGATATTCTGCCACTATTAAAAAGAATCTATTCAGGCAACTCAGAGCAGATAAAAACCAGCTATAAGCACTTCTAAGTATGCGAGGTTACCCAGGGCTAGTTTTCACCTAAGCTCACAGCTCAGGAGCAGCAGTGAGCAGGACAAGAGGCAGAAACAGGGGCCTCCCTGGTGGTCCAGGGTTAAGAACCCGCCTGCACGGCAGGGGGCCGAGCTCGGTCCCGGTTGGGGAACTAAGGCCCCACGTGCCCCGGAACAACTAGAGCCTGCTTGCCGCAACAACACAACAACAGCAGCAGCAAAAAAGGCCCACATGGTGCAACCAAGATCTGCAACTAAGACCCAGTGCAGCCAAATACAGAAATATATTTTTAAACAGAAAGAAAGAAAGCAGAAACAAGGTGAAGAAGACAAAGCACAAATAAGGGGCAATGCTAATCCTCAAAGGAAATGACCTTATTGGTCATCATTAGGACAGTCCTTCCGAATAGAGTCCCAGAATCATTTTCTAACTGAAAATATTAAATTTAATAATCTCCAAAATATATAAGCAACTCTTACAGCCCAATAGCAGAAAAACAAACAACCCAATCAAAAAATGGGCAGAAGACCTAAACAGATATTTCTACAAGGAAGACATATGGATGGCTAGTAAATTCAAGAAAAGATGCTCCACATCACTATTAGAGAAATCAAAACTACAATGAAGTATCCCCTCACACTGGTCAGAATTGTTGTTCAGTCAGTCAGTCATGTCTGACTCTTTGCAACCCCAAGGACTGCAGCATGCCAGGCTTCCCTGTCCTTCATTATCCCCCAGAGTTTGCTCAAACTCATGTCTATTGAGTCAGTGAGCCCATCCAACCATCTCATCCTCTGTCATCCCCTTCTCCTCCTACCCTCAACCTTTCCCAGCATCACAGTCTTTTCCAGTGAGTTGGCTCTTCTCATTAGGTGGCCAAAGTATTGGAGTTTCAGCTTCAGCATCAGTCCTTCCAGTGAATATCCAGGGTTAATTTCCTTTAAGATTGACTGGTTTGATCTCCTTGGTGTCCAAGGGACTCTCAAGAGCCTTCTCCAGCATTACAGATCAAAAGCATCAATTCTTCAATCTCAGCCTTCTTTATGGTCCAACTCTCTTTGACTACACAGACCTTTGTCAGCAAAGTGATGTCTCTGCTTTTTAGTACACTGTCTAGGTTTTAATACAATGGTCAGAATGCCTTCATCAAAAAATCTACAAACAAAAATGCTGAAGAGGATGTAGAGAAAAGGGAACCCTCCTGCACTGTTGGTAGAAATGTAAACTGATACAGCCATTATGGAGAACAGTATGGAGATTCCTTAAAAAAAAAACAAAAACTAGGAATAAATCTACCATCTGACCCAACAATCCCACTACTGGGAATATACGCTGAGAAAATCACAATTCCAAAAGACACATGTAGGGGAATTCCCTGGTGGTCCAGTGGTTAAGACTTGGAGCTTGAACTGCAGGGGGCACAAGTTCGATCCCTGGTTAGGGAACTAAGAGCCAGCATGCCGCAAAGTGCAGCCCCAAAAAATTTTTTTTAAAAATTAAAAATAAATAAATAAACAAGACACATGTACCCCAATCAATGTTCACTGCAGCACTATCTACAATAGCTAGGCCATGGAAGCAACTTAGATGTTCATCGACAGATGAAATAAGTCAGAAAGAGAAAAATATTGTATATTAATGCACATATATGGAATCTAGAAAAGTGGTATTGATGAATCTATTTCCAGGAAAAGAATAGGAACAGATACAGAGACTTGTGGTCTTGTGGGGTTGAGAGAGCAGGACAAATGGAGAAAGTAGCAAGGACATATATACACTACCACGTCTAAAACAGATAGCTGGTGAGAAGTTGCTGTGTAACACAGGAAGCCGAGCCTAGCACTCAGTGATGATTTAGAGGGGTACTACGACAAAGGGAGGGAAGGGAGGCTCAAGAGGGAGGTGATATATGTATAATTATAGCTGATTTGCATTGTTGTATGGCAGAAACCACACAGCACGGGCTCAGTAGTTGTGGTGCTCGGGCTTACTTGCTCCACAGCATGTGGAATCTTCCCACACCAGAGATCAAACTCACGTCCCCTGCATTGACAGGTGAATTCTCACCCACTGTGCCACCAGGGAAGTCCTGTTTTTTTTTTTTAAATTGCTCTACTATTATTACCCAAAACTAATCTAAATTTATCACTCTTTATTTTTGTTTTCCCCCTTGAATGCCAATCTTTTTAACACTATAGCTATTACTACTATTTAGGTAAGCAATATTGATGCCACATTGCAGTAAAGAGAAATAATCTCTGCTTTGCTCCTCCCACAATGTAACTAAATTCAGCTAAATCTTTTTTTTCCATTGCTTTTCTGGCCCTAGTTCAGTTCAGTTGCTCAGTCATGTCTGACTCTTTGCGACCCCACGAACCACAGCACACCAGGCCTCCCTGTCCATCACCAACTTCCAGAGTCCACCCAAACCCGTGTCCATCGAGTCGGTGATGCCATCCAACCATCTCATCCTCTGTCGTCCCTTCTCCTCCGGCCCTCAATCTTTCCCAGCATCAGGGTCTTTTCAAATGAGTCAGCTTTTCACATCAGGTAGCCAAAGTATTGGGAGTTTAAGCTTCAACATCAGTCCCTCCAATGAACACTCAGGACTTGTCTCCTTTAGGATGGACTGCCTGGATCTCCTTGCAGTCCAAGGGACACTCAAGAGTCTTCTCCAACAACACAGTTCAAAAGCATCAATTCTTCAGCACTCTTCTTTATAGTCCTACTCTCACATCCATACGTGACCACTAGAAAAACCACAGCCTTGACTAGAACCAGTCTGTTGTTCCAAGTCCAGTTCTAACTGTTGCTTCCTGACCTGCATACAGGTTTCTCAGGAGGCAGGTCAGGTGGTTTGGTATTCCCATCTCTTTCAGAATTTTCCACAGGATTTCAAAATCAAAGGCTAGTCAAGAAGTATAAAGAATCCACTTTGACTAAACATGAAGAATGTAAAGGTCATTTAACAGTTGCCCAAATCATTTCTAAAAAGCATATATGGTTTTAAAAATCACATTTGGTAATGGTTTTACAATCCTTCTACACAAACTGGAAGTCAAATAGTCATAAATTATTTAAAGGCAGGCCCCCTCTGTACCCAACTCCAGGAGAGCACAGCAGAGGGGGTTCTCTGTTGCTCCAGGGCACACTTCTACCCTGAAGATGTATACTGGAGGAATAAGATGTTGGTCACAGCCCTTCTCCCTCATTTTAACTTCAGAGGAGAGCTCTGACATGCATAAAGGACACATGAAGGACACAAAGACATGAGATATAACGCAATAAGAATAACCATGCCCTGCCCATCCCTTCTAGCAGGATAAAAGATGACTGGGAAAAGGAGCCTTAAGCAGAAAACAGAAGGGTTGTAAACATTAGTAATGACAACATCTTCTTTCTCCTGCTACCGAAATGGTAAATTGAAAGCACCACACAAGACCAAAGTGAGGTGTGGGAAAATAACTCCTTTGAGTTATTTAGGCCTAATTCTAATCTAGGCCTTAAGCTATAAAGGTAGAAAAGTATTCTTGTATTTATGTACAGTCTATCCCACTTTTCCAGACAACCTGGGCTAGAAGCTTTGGCCAGCAAAAATCCATATGCATACAGCACAAACATGGAAAAATAAAAGGATATTTACATTAAACACTTATCATATAAGGGTAGTCTTCCAAGAACTTTACGTGAATTAACTCATTTGGCCCTCACAACACAAGGAATCTATTTCACACACAAAAAAATTGAGGTACGGAGAAGTACGACTCGCCCAAAGCTGCAGAGCTGTAAATGAGCGTCAGACTGGGAACCAAGCTCAAGCAGTCGAGCCCCACCTCCTCCTGTCTCCATCACGGCCCCGTCGTGTGCACTCCTCAAAGAACCCAGCATCGGGGACATCACACAGGATCCTAACGAGACTCAGCCAACCCAGGCTGACTAGTATGAACTCCACTCAACATCATCAGTTCTTTGGATGGCAAACATCATACTGCAAGTTCTGCAGATGCATTAGGCAAAGCTCCATTATATCTCACCCAAAGTAAATACAAACCAGTTAAAATTATCCTTTTCTCACAAGAGAGGCTAATGAGGGCTGTAGTTGTCTTAATGGTACTGTTCTTCAAACGATGACCTTCATCACAAATTAGAAGATCAAATTTTACAGTCTTAATTTGATCCAGGGAACGAAGTAACATTTCATAACTGATGATAAGAACAGAATAAAATGGAGATTTGGTGAATTCTTCTACTTTGTGGTCCTTAAAAAAAAAAAAAAAAGGTAACTTTTAACAAACCATGGGCAAAAACTGTGTGAAATTAAACAAAAGCAGCATATTCCTGAAAACCATTATCTAGGTATTAGAATATATTAACTCAACCAAATTGTAAGGCAAGATTCCATTTATCAGAAAAAAGAGAGCTACATACACTTGAAAAACTGCTAGACAGTGAAAGCTGCAGCATTGATTTGAAAAGCTAGAGATTTAGTAAAGACCAAATCTAAATTTTCAAAAGTCTCTTACCTGATCAACAGTAAATATCTTGATCCTTTCAATTCCTAGCCATTGGAGGAATTCTTTCCTCCAATTATTCACCAAGCTTCCAGGTGTGACAATAAGTGTCTTCTTTATTATTGGCTTGCCTCCGTAGGGTCCCTGACACTGTAGGGTCCAGATAAGCGAAATACATTGCAGTGTTTTCCCTAAACCCATTTCATCGGCAAGAATAGCTCCACATCTGCCATTCACCCTGTTAGAAATAATTATATTTCCTTCAACTACAAAAGGAAAATACTTTACGCCCCTAACATCATTACCTATCAGTCAAAAACCAGAAGCTGATATTTTGTAATTAGGATGAATTCTAGCCCCCACTAAACACATTTTCTAGCTCTTCATTCAGCTGATTTATGACATTTTGCATCTGCGCTAATTATATTCATTATATAGTTATTGTCAACTAAATTACTAAAACAAATTGAAATTACAGTTGAATCTAAATCTGTTACTATCATGATTCCATATTTAGAAACTAGAAATGAATGCCAATTTCATATCTACAGTTAAATAATTTAACTATAACTGTGCTTCTCATCACTAACAGCTGAGCAGTTTTTATCAGTTTCAGTATTAGATATCAAAACACTTTAAAATATAATGAAACATAAACCAGAAAGATCTAGTGATCTGTATTTATGACTCTCTTTCAATAAATGAAATCCTCAACCAAAATAGCTCCTTGACCTGTAAGAAAAATTAAACACTATTTGATCTAATACACATAATTTAGTAAAAATCTTATCCTACAAGCCTACTTGGTTCACGCAATTCAAAATTAAACATTATAAGGAATACTATCAGTAACTGGCATTTATACCACTTCATAGTTTAAAAGCTCTTTGACAGGTATTAGATAAACACTTTAAAAGTTACAAAATCCAAAGGAATTAAGGAAATATAAGTATAGTTTGTTAATCCATTCTGTTTCTTACTAGTAGAAATAACAACCAAAACCAATTTGATTTGTTTTCCAGTTCAAAATGTAGAGAAAAAATTACAAACATGAATTATAGCCACTATTATTATTTTAGATTATTATAGCCCTTATTATTACTTTAGATTATTTTAGATTTTGCCATTGCAAGATGCCAGCTAAATGAGATATAGTGAGTGGCAGAGAGAAAACAGTGATACAGCATCCAGCATCCAGGTATAATGAAGACAGCAGGAAGGCTTCCCTTGCAGAAGATGAACCTCGAGCAGAGTGTTAAAGGAAAACCGGAATTCACTACATTAATCAGTATTAACACATCAGCACAGCTGGAGCTTGAACTGAATTCCAAGCAAAGAAATAGAAGGTTAGGAAGCTGGCAAGATTGGCAATAGACAGACTATATCTTGTAGGTCAGTGTCTCCCCAGCATCAGTCTTCCATGGATGACTACAATGCTTGGCCATATACATGATACTATGTGTGCTACTGTTCATTATTTTTCTCTAAATCAACTCACTTTTTAACTTAGATTTATTTGAAAAGAAAACAAATTCTTTCTAAGCATAATCTACGTGTGAAACCAAAAGTTTGATGTGCTATTTCTTTCCAATTATTCACTAACTAAATATGCTATGATTAAAGTAAAAAATAAAGTTTGTCCCTGCACATCTAAAATAATCCTATACACCACCCAACTGGAATGCATACCACAGATTAGAAAACATTGCTCTAAGTTCTGAGAACTGTAATCATTTTAAGCAAGGAAATGCCATGTTCAGAACTGTTTCCAGAAACATCAAACTGGCAGCAATAAGTAGAAACAATCTGAGGAGCATCAGAAACAGATACACAAGTTAGAAGCTGTTCCAACAGTCCAGATAAAATATAACTTTATGACACCAGTTACTAGAACTGCTACAGTGAGGTGCCAGAAACAATTAGGTTCGAAATGGTATTTGGGAAGTCAAAATAATCAGAAGTTTAGATGTGATTACAGAAGGTGAAAGAGAAGAAATAAAAGATGATTCTCAGGCCAACTGACATAAGATCTCCAGAAAAGAAGAACATATTTGAAAGAATGTGAATCTAGAAAGTTTCTAGAAGATAATTTTCCCCTTGTCATCATTCAAGGGGTTCTTTAGAGCTTGGAGGTATTTACATTCCTACCTCCCTAGTAACTGAGACAAACTGAGTGGCAATGACCAAAGTAAAAATCAAGGTCCTATGCATTAAAAACAAAACAAAAAAGGACTGGAAGGAAATGTACTAATATGTTAGCAGAGACTTTTGATTCTTTTAACCCTCTTTGGTTTGAATTTATGTGTGTGTCTTCTACTTCAACTGTATTGACTATAATTCTTTAAGAAAACTCAATTTTAAAAGAGGAAGAGGGACTCGTGTGTGTGTGTGTGTGTGTGTGTAAGCAGAGGTGAGATAAGAAGAAAACTTTTCTGTAAAATCCTCTTGTGTGTCCGGTTCCAAGCAAGATGTCTAGCACAGAGTATCCTTCAAGAACTACCTGTGGAGATTTCCCTGGTGGTCCACTGTGGCTAAGACTCTGGGCTCCCAATGCAGAGGGCCTGGGTTCAATCCCTGGTCAGGGAACTAGATCCCCAATGCTGCAACTAAGAGTTAGCATGCTGCATTAAAAAAAAAAAAAAAAAAGATCCTGCATGCTGCAACAAAGATTAAAAATCCTGCCTGTCTCAACTAAGACCAGGCACAGCCAAATTTTTTCCTAAATAAAATGATTTTTTAAAAAAGAACTGTGGAATAAACATATGCATTACCATTTGCCATTCCTATCAACTAAAATACATGCTGCACTCATTGAGACTCATTATATACTAGGCTCGTCCTAGAAAACCATTATGTTACAGGTAAATCAAAGCTCTGATTAGATCAAACAAATTATTTTCCTACCTCATTCCCATCACACATTCATAAAGGAATATGATCCCTTCTTTCTGATGTGGTCGAAGGTAATATACAAGGTGAGGATCTATCACTACATCCACAACAGGAAAACAGGTCTTATTGAACAGCCACTGGTGATTCTTATCTGGTCGGAGCATAACAAGGGAATCTTCAGAAAAAGGGAAAAGTATAATTATAAATGTATTCCACTCTGTCAGTAATTACATTATCCTGCTCTAATTACTCAGAAGATACAACTGTTTGCTGTCATTTGTGACCAAAAAAAAAAAAATCCAAAACTTTGAAATTCAAAAAGAAAAAGAAATAAAAACACAATAATTTTTAAATTCAACAACATCAATGCTAAGCAAAGGTACAAAATTTTAAAAATAAAATCTCATGCCTTATTGATGTAAGATTCATGCAAAGAATGGCAAAGAGTTTTCCAAATTTCATGCACAAAAGTGCTTTGAAACCACTAAAATTCACTATTGTTTCATAAAGAATTCATTAAGCCACAATACTTACTACTTCAGTATTCAAAGCAAAGAGAACTGTTTCCAACTGAAAGCACAGGTTGGAATTTTGCCAAGATGGCCTTTACTAATGCTCATAGCTTCTTATTCTGGAAAGGCTTTCCAAATTTAATATAAAGGCTTCCTTTATTTTCATTCCTATGCCACTAACAATGTCTATTACCCCTATTAAACAGAAGAACTGAGAAAGAATGACAAATTTTCCATTGACTTCACCACCATTATTTGCTTAAAATTAATTACTTCATTCATGAAATGTAAAATTCATGAATCTTGGCAAAGCAGCATGGAGTAACCATCAAATAACAATGTAATTCTTTAGTAATATGGTAATACAATTTAAAAGATTTATTGAAAATCACTCAAAAAGCAAAACCAAACATAACTAGAAAGCTGGTATCAATTGATAAATCTGAAATCAGAGAATAAACTCATCAAAATAATTCTCTGGATATATTTGATGTCTACATCATGGTTAAAAAAAGTAAAATAGATTTTTTAAATACGAAGAAAGAGAAGAACAAAGATGAGAAAAGGAGGTTAAAATACAATAGGTTCCAGGAGACTAAATATGGGAAATCTCCTGGTGGTCCAGTGGTTAAGACTCAGTGCTTTCACTGCTGAGGACACAGGTTCAAATCCTGGTCCAGGAACTAAGATCTCACAAGCTATATGGGGCAACCAAACAAAAAAAACAACAACGGGGAATATAATAAATAACCATCAGTGTGGAAATACATAGTCACAGAAATGAGAGTCCGGTCATGTTTACTGATAGTAATTACCTGGAGGAAGGTTTTCTGTGGATCTTCCCAGGTTTTTGAGCAACCAAAAGAAACTCATTTTCGAGGTGAATTCCTGGCAGGTAGGGGGCTAGGGAGTGAAAACGGAAAACTCAGCCCCTGAGTTTCCTCCATATCCCAGTAGTAAAGAAGAGTGTATGCCTTGTGCATTTCCAACCAAGAAATGGTCCCATTTCTTTTTTCTTAAAAAAAGAAAAAACAACAAAAAGAACAAAAAGAGGACCTCCCTGGTGATCCGGTAGTTAAGAATCCACCTGCCAGTGCAGGGGACACAGGTATGGGCCCTGGTCCGGGAAGATCTCACACGCCTCAGAGCAGCTGAGCAAACGCTCTACATTGACTGAAGCCCGTGCGTTTCAGGGCCCAAGTGTAACGAACAAGAGAAGCCACTGCAATGAGAAGCCCGCACACCGCACTAGAGCATCCCCTGCTCACTGCAACTAGAGAAAACCCACACGCAGCACTGAGGCTCAGTGCAGCTATAAATAAATAAAGCTTTTTAAAAATTAGTTTAAAAGGACAAAGGGATTTAAAAAAAAAACACAGAGAAAAAGATGATTCACAGCTCAAGCAAGGACCATAGAATCATAAATCATCTAACAAAGCACGAAGCTTTGAGAAAAATAAAACCTAAAGAACTACAGCAATAGGACATCAGTTTAAATCTTTAGATGCCCTTCATGATCATGAAGCATCATTTAATGCTAACAAAATGTCTTTTGCTTTAGTTTTAGAATTCCTGGCAGGTAGGGGGCTAGGGATTGAAAACGGAAAACTCAGCCCCTGAGTTTCCTCCATATCCCAGTAGTAAAGAAGAGTGTATGCCTTGTGCATTTCCAACCAAGAAATGGTCCCATTTCTTTTTTCTTAAAAAAAGAAAAAACAACAAAAAGAACAAAAAGAGGACCTCCCTGGTGATCCGGCAGTTAAGAATCCACCTGCCAGTGCAGGGGACACAGGTATGGCCCCTGGTCCGGGAAGATCTCACACGCCTCAGAGCAGCTGAGCAAACGCTCTGCATTGACTGAAGCCCGTGCGTTTCAGGGCCCAAGTGTAACGAACAAGAGAAGCCACTGCAAGGAGAAGCCCGCACGCCGCACTAGAGCATCCCCTGCTCACTGCAACTAGAGAAAACCCACACGCAGCACTGAGGCTCAGTGCAGCTATAAATAAATAAAGCTTTTTTAAAAAGTAGTTTAAAAGGACAAAGGGATTTAAAAAAAAAACACAGAGAAAAAGATGATTCACAGCTCAAGCAAGGACCATAGAATCATAAATCATCTAACAAAGCACGAAGCTTTGAGAAAAGTAAAACCTAAAGCACTACAGCAATAGGACATCAGTTTAAATCTTTAGATGCCCTTCATGATCATGAAGCATCATTTAATGCTAACAAAATGTCTTTTGCTTTAGTTTTAAGTCTACAACTTAGTACTACCTTTAACAAGATTTAAAAAGAGAGAGGATAAGTGTAAGTGTATTTACCACTTACAAAAACGGCTTGCTTACACACACACATACACACTCATGTACACATATACACAAATTATCAAAATAAAATTTTTCATTCACTCAGTTATCAAATATTTATTGTACACAGTATGTACCAGGCACTCTAAGTCTCTATGGTAGTTATTAAAACCCACACTTTACATGAGGCAAAACATTTAGTGAAGTAAGTGACTACCTCAACTGATCGAAGAATCAGTAGTTTAGTGGCAAAAGCAGGACTCTAACTCAGGTCCTTGACTAAGCACAGTGTTCTTTTTAGTTCACCACAGCTATTATATAACAGGAAGGCAAAGAGAAAGAAGCATAAAGGACAGAAGGAGGCTTATGAGCCAGTGTGACAGAAAAAATATTCAGACAAAGAGAAAAATCAGAAGCAGAAACTCCCACACTCTAAATTTCAATTAAGTCTCAAATGAGCTAGAATAAAGCAAGGAATTTTTAATTTGGGGGTTTTAATCCAAATCATGCCAATACCTGCTTTAAGCAAGTCAGTTCATCCTTCTGGTATTCAGTTTCCTCAAATGCAAAGTGAAGGGATTGGCCTAAATTATCTAAAAGGTCCTTTTATTTCAAAAATTCTGTTTCCAAAATGGCAAGAGGGGAAAATAGTTATTTTAATACTTTTTGCAAGCATGTGTGCATTCTAAGTCCCATCAGTTATGTCCAAATCTTTGTGACCCTATGGACTGTAGCCCACCAGGTTCCTCTGTCTGCGGGATTCTCCAGGCAAGAAAACTGAAGTAGGTGGCCATGCCCTCCTCCAGGGGATCTTCCCAACCCAGGGGCTGAACCTGCGTCTCTTATGTCCCCTGTATTGGCAGGTAGATTCTTTACCACCAGAGCCACTTGGGAAGCCCTTAATACATCTATTTATAGCTATTTTAAGAGTTATTTTTATAATTATTTCAATATTTTTATTTTTACTACCATTATGAGAAAAGCTTACTTTATTCTCCAACTTCTACATAACAGAACAAATTCAATAGGAGTAAGTCTTTTCAAACAAATGCTGAATTAACTGGCTATCCACATGGAAAGAGCTTCCCAGATAGCACAGTGGTAAAGAATCCACCTGCCAATGCAGCAGGTGCAAGAGAGGACAATTTGAACCCTAGGTTGGGAAGATCCCCTGGAGAAGGAAATGGCAACCTGCTCCAGTATTCTTGCCTTGACAGTTTCATGGACAGAGGAGCCTGGCAGGCTGCAGTCCATGGGGTCACAAAGAGACAGACACAACTGAGCACATACACTGCCATTCTCACTGCCACAGGGAAAAAGATGAATGTCATTAACTCACCCTGTACACAAAATTTTAGGCAAAATGAATCACAGACTTAACATAATTCAAACTTTATGTCTGTCACATCACCAAATGAGAAGCTTTGTAATGAGTTTTACCTCTGGGCCCAATGTATAAAACGCACACAAGAAATACTTGTTGACTGAGCAATCAAATCTTAAAAAGTCAAACACCAGACCCAGAGGAATCGGGTGGAGAGGGAGGTGGGAGAGGGGATCGGGATGGGGAATACATGTAAATCCATGGCTGATTCATGTCAATGTATGACAAAAACCACTATAATATTGTAAAGTAATTAGCCTCCAACTAATAAAAATAAATGAAAAAAAAAGTCATAAACAGACTAGGTTTTATTTTTGATGCAATTTTTAAATTAAATTCATTAATGTGAAAATTAACTTGACTGGACTGAATTAGGAATAAAATTTGAATTCTTTACATGAAATCTCACCTTCTAATATTTTTTTTCACCTTTCAATATTTTAATACTCAATTAAGTCACTAATTACTAATACTTGTGATCTTCAAAATGGAAGTTCAAAAATATTCCTAATTTATGAATTTACCAATTTTTCTCCCTACAAAAGATATCAGGTTTTGTTGAAATCATACACATGTATGTGTCTATACATCTATAATTTGCACAATTTTCCTTCAACACATGTATTTTGGTTACCATACTCCTGCAATTGAACATTTACTTATGAAATAATTCTCAAACTATATTATTATTCAGCTTCAACATTATCCCTTATGTCAGACTATATATCTGAAAAATGATACATACTTTTACCTGAAAGTGTTAAAACAAAATTTCAACTTTAAATTCACATACCAAAATATCTTTAGACAGTAAAAACAGAAAACTCAAATTAAGTTTTTAAATCTTACTTGGTGCATGTGGGTCATGGCGTGGTTTGCAATTTTGGAAACTGTTCTGTTTATTTTCCTTTGAACTGAGTTTACAGACACTTTTGAAAGGGTTAGAGAAACACTTCTTGGCAGCTTGAGAAGAACTTAAGACAGCAGAACATCCTCCTCCAAACTGAAAACATCTTCCACTGTTGAAATCATCTGGAGAGATGATACCCATGACTTCTATTTCTTTTCCACCAATCATCATTGTTTGACCCTCTTCAATCTTTTCAAGCTCTTTCAATTTATATCCAGTGCCTTTAAATTGAGAAGGAAAAAAATTAATTTAATTTATTGATACCCTAAGATGACTTAATTAGTAAAACCAGAGTCTCTTCTTATAACTGTATGGAATGAAAACTACTTTGAATGCAAATAGCCTCGTATAATAACCCACTGGACAGAACAAAAATATAATTTACCCTTTTAGTAAAAATACACACATGCAAAAATCAAAAGGAATAAATAATTATATAGTTAAAAAATTAGGTAAGGTTTAGAGAGCCAAGGCTTGTTTTTAATTACTTAAAATACAGTCTACTGTAGTCATAGTTTTGCCATCTGCTATCTATAAAAAATCAAGCGAAGAAGGGTTTGGGTTAAGCTGTATGGACCCTCCTTTCTTGTGAACAACCTAGACAAATGCCAGGGCAGCTCTATTTCCACTTAGAAACAAGTGGGGAAATGTGAAGAACTAGCAACAGAAGCAATTTCTAACACAACTAGTACTGTACTCTTCCACCTGCAACAGCATAGTAAAACTACATTTGTCATAGAGGCTACTGATAGCCCAAGTTCTCGCTCTTGAATAAAAAGCAGGATATTTTATAATATCACACTTGTTTGAATTATTATTAATTCAATAGACCATTTATTAGGTGCTGCCATGTGTAAGGTGTTGATGCAATATAAATATGAGTACGTTATCATGGTCTGTTTAAAATGAACTCATTAATCAGATAGAGTGAGGGAATTTTATACTCCTCCGCTTGGAAACATTAAATGCATGATTTTTGTGCCACTGTGAGGGGCAATACTCTGTATACCAAAAACTTAAGATCATCATATTTTAGATAACATTACATAATCCTTTTAAACTAGCTGGAAAATTGCTACAATTCCCTATTAACACTGGGCTAATAATTACAATCTCTGACAACTAGGAACTACATAATATACATTTTTCAATTACTTAGGATAGAGCTCTAAGATGAAGCCAGATAGTTATTTGGCTGGTGTTCCTAAATGCTAAAAGACCCAGCCCTCCATTTCCCAAGCTGTTTCAATTCAACAGCAGTCCTGACCTCTCCATATTAATGAAGATAACTGTTTCATCTTCATATTGAATCCAACCCTATTAATCCAATTACCACTAATTACACGAAAATGAGAGATAAGAATAAATTTAATTTTGAGGCATCTTCAAGAGGCTCTGCAACTCCAAAATCTCTTGTTTCACTTTGCTCCCTAGTGATGACTGTCTCAAACATCTCTACATCTCCAGAAGATTTTCTTTAAACTCTTGAACTTTAAGTTTCCCACACTTGTTCTTTGCTGGGTATGTGGAATGAAAATCAACTGAATCTGACTATATTATCACAAGCTATTAGCAATTTCAGCATTCCAGCCTTCGGGTTCTTAAGAGTGTTTATTCTTATAGTAATAATATTTAAATGCTGAATATCCAAATTATTTAAAAGAAAAACTGCTTGTATTATAGGTGATAACTTGCAAGCTTAACTCCAGGTTGATATATTTATTAACATTATAATTAAGCAACCAAGTCTTATATTCGGATGCTTTCACTTTGAAAGTCAATAAATTAATTTTTTAAACCAGTGATTTTCAACTCCTGCTGGATATGACAGTCATCCAGAAACCTAAAATATATGAATGTTCAGTCCCTCTCCCCATCATCCAGACCAAATAATCACAGCCTCAGAGATCAAGGCCCTAAGCACTGGCATTTTTAAAAAGCACCAAAGGTGATTCTACTTGTATAGAGGTGATTCTACTTTTTTCCACTACTTGCAACTGAGAGATCATTTTATTATTAATCCAAACTACACATACTCAAAACCATATATACTATAGTTATGGGTAACAGCTATTCCAGGGTAATTTTGGTAATTTTTTCCTTGCTAGGGGGGGCTTTAGAATATAATTTCACTAATTAAGTATAAACAAGTTCTCAAAAAAATTTAGCCTCAATCCCTGGTGGCTCAGATGGTAAGGAATCTGCCTGCAGTGCAAGAGACCTGAGTTCAATCCCTGGGTCAGGAAGATCCCCTAGAAAAGAGAATGGCAACCCACTCTAGTATTCTTGCCTGGAGAATTCCATGGACAGAGGAGCCTGGTGGGCTATAGTTCATGGGGTTGCAGAGTCAGACACAACTGAGTTACTAACATCTTAACTAACATGGAATGTGTATTGCTAATTTTCTTTTTAATTTCTCTAAATACTAAATGTAATATTGGATATATGGTATTTGTTCAATATTTTCATAATAAAAAATTCTATTGCAGATAATTCCATTCAGCCTCAATCCTTGCCCCTCTGTCACTACCCTTCGCATACTACATTCCTGAAACACTGAAGTAGTTTTAATTCACTCTTGCCTATACCTGTATATATGCTACGCCCCTTTCTCATTCCCTACAAAATTACTCATCCCTCACATATTACCTTAAACAATAACTCCTTTGAAGCTTTCCCTCAGCCTCATAGGCTGATTTACATGGTCCTTCTATATATGCTCCTATCGTACTCAGCAAACATTCTCATTGAAACAATTATCTTAGTGCTTCCTAATTATCAATTACATTGCCCTGTCCCTACTAAACTACAAACTATAACCCTCTTTGAATGCTTACCCCTAGCATAGTTATTGAAACTACAAACTATGTTATTTTCAACATGTAAAACAGACTTTATAATTATGGGCCACACTCAGAATTGAAGAGTAATATAAGAGACAATGTAAAAAGACCATGATATCTTTACATACTCTGATTTTGCGGGCTAACTTATGCAAATAAATCATGCTGGCAATGTTTTATAATGGAAATAACAGTTACCCTCCAATTTAGATATATTAATCCAGGTTATCTCTGGCTATTATCTCCTTGCTATTTTCAAATTTTTACTAGGTATCATTGAAGTTAGATATCATTCTACTCCTAACACCCACATTTTTTTAACTTTTAATCACTCAGCATTCTGGAAAAAAAAGAAAAAAGGTGAAAAACACACAAAGAAAAACAGCTTAATCTCAGAAAAATGCCAATATAACTGTATATATCTAGTTAATCATTTTATATTCAAAGAAAATGATACCATGGGATGAGACTCATCTCAATGAGTATACATAAGACTGTCAGACTTGCTATTACAAGATAAATTTATGTTTATCAGATAATTTATACATGAAAGTCAAGAAAGAACACCTTCATAAAACACAATTACATTTCAATTTTGTAGTCAGATACATATATTAACTTTAGACCAAATCATAAACATCAGGTAATAGCACAATACCTTTTCCAATGTCTTTGCCTTCCAAATCCTTTAAGGTAAATGACTTTCCTCTTACAATAAGAACAGCATCACCTTCCCACTTTTTGTGTTTTTTCTTTGAAGCTTTACACCAAACAACACTGAAATATTTAACTAGGCTATCAGGTTTCTCTTCTTGTCCCTTAGACACTGTTATTTCTTTAGGGGCTGAATGAACTAGAATATAAACAAAATAAAAACCAGTTATTATAGATGACATTAATATTTAAGTAATAAAATCACTCAACAAAATAAAAGCACAAGTAAACTGGATTGTATTAAATATTTTTTCATATATACGTTATAAACTGGGAAATTCAAATATCAGCTTCTAGCATTACCACGAGAACAGAATGCAAATTTCTTATCATCATACAAACTTAGTAGAAGTAGAAAAACATAATAATCACTGGTAAGATTTTAAAACTCTAGTAATTAAAGATAAAATTTCAGCATCCATGGAAAAACGCCTAAAATCACGTGACAAGATATATCAAGGAAAAGTAATACAAGATCACAGAGTTCTCTAAAAAAAAACCTATAGCTTTTTCAATAAGAACAAAGGTAAAACATTAAAGCAGCAATAAGACTAAAATTTCATCAATATATTCTTGTCTCCTAGCCTAGGGAGCTGTCAGGTTGGGTCCCTGATTCTGAGAATTCAGTAGTATACGATCTGGAAATTAAAAGTTCCTTATGAAAGTCTATACTTTTCTTGAAAACATTCCCAGTATCACCTTACAAAAACATATCCAAAAGGTCTAACAGAAAATTGTTCAGCAATGGAGAAACTGATTTATGGTGTCAGAAACCAGAAAGTGGCTGCTGGCTCTGGAGTTGGGAAATTGACTGGAAAGGGCCAGGAAAGAAGAACTTGTTCTGGGTGATAGTTGCATAGGTGAATACATTTAACAGAAATCATTGTGGATCATTCAGAGAAATACATTTTATTGCATGTAAAGTACAGAGCGTGAAAAAGACAAAACATAATAAGACAAAGAATAACAGCAGAATAGGTTGAGAGGTATGTATATGATACTCGATATAATAGTATCTTTTAGTGCTTTGAAGCAAAAACACTCTTATCTATTAACTCAAAGCACACTTGACACTAAAGACAAAATCTCCCCTTATTACTCTGTCTTATTCTTTCTTTTCCGCTTGGCAGTTAACCATGAGCACTTCCGGGAGAAATACAGAGCATCCTCATACTAAGCCCTAGCTCTTGCTTCTCACCTAACTTGTATACTATATTTTTCAATGACTAGATAAGTTTACTCCAGCTGAAGACAGGAAAATCTCATTCCCTCATTATTGAAGAGCTATTCACTGTATCTTTTACCAAATACACACTTGAACTCCAAAGCTATCAAAACAACAGAATTTACAAAACAAAAGCCAAATTATTACTTTATCTTTTAAAATACACCCACCTACTTAAATAGGAAAAGAAAAAGCCCTGAGACTAGGAATAAAGAATCCCCATTTTCACCACTTCTAATCAATGTTGTCCTGGAAAGTCTTAGCCAATGCAATAAGGCAATAAAAACAAAACGTATAAAGATCAGAAAGGAAGAGAAGTAAAACTGTACCTATATGCGGATGATAAAACTGTCTACATAGAAATCCATTAGGAATCTGAAAACAAAGGACTGAGAACTAATAACTTATTCCATCAAATTTCAAAGTTAACTATCATATAACAAAAATGAAGGTATTTTGGTATTTTTTAAAAAGACACAATGATCAATGCAATGAAATAGTGGCCACTGTGTATGGCCACTATTTTTCAACAAAGTTGGCAGAACAAATTGATTTTCAACTGATTTTCAACAAAGTTGGCAAAACAAATTCAATGGGAATAAGCCTTTTCAAACAAATGCTGAGTTAACTGGATAGTCACACAGAAAAAAAGATGAACATCAACCATTAACTCACCCTGTACACAAAATTTAACAAAAAATGAATCATAGACTTAAATGTACAATTTTACTACAAACTTTTACAAGAAAATGTAGTAGAAGATATTTGTAATCTTGAAGTAGGCAAAGGTTTCTTATAATACAAATGTATAAAACATTAAAAATAAAATATATGTTTAATTTTATCAAAGTTTTTAAAGGATGCCATCAAGAAAACAAAGTCAAACAAATCAATACAAAATGGGCAAAAAAACATGAACAGATAATTCAGGAAAGAATATATACAAAAAGTCAGTAACACATAAAAGGATGTTTAACATCATTAACCATTTGAGAAATGCAAATAAAAAACACAAGATACACTTCACATCCACATCTACTAAGATGATTAGTCTCAAATGGATAAAAGCAAGTATGGTGCAGATGCAAAGAAACTGGAATCCACACTCACTACTGGTGGGAATGTAAAATAGTCCAGCTACTTTAAAAAACAGTTTCACGATTCTTCAAAAGATTACAGTTACCATATAATCCAGCAATTCCACTCCTAGGTATAGGCTCAAGACAGAGAAAAACATGTCCACACAAAAAAACTTGCACATGAATGTTTATAGCAGTATTATTCATAATAGCCCAAAGGTAGGAACAAAACAAATGTCCATTCAATGAACAAATGAATAAACAAATTATGGTACATCATGTTATTATTAGTGATACTATTCATAATATTATTCAATCATTAAAGGAATAAAACACTGATACATGCTAAATACATACAAACCTTAACAACATTATGTTAAGTGAGCGAAGCCAATCACAAAAGACTACACATTACATGGTTCCATTTATATGAAATGTCCAGAACAGGAAAGTCTATAGAGACAGAAAGTAGTTTAACGGTCACTTAGGGCTAGGAGGTGAGGGTGAGACTAGGGGCAGGAGGTATGGGGGCTGAAAGTTAGAGAGCACAGGATTTCTTTATGAAGAACTGAAAACATCTTAAAACTGTGGTGATAGTTGCACATAACTGTAAATACACTACTAAAAAATCAGGAATTACATGCTTCATATGAGTGAATTATGTTGCTCTTGTTCAGTCGCTCAGTCATGCCTGACTCTTTGCGACCCCATGAACTGCAGCACGCCAGGCCTCCCTGTCATATAATGAGTGAATTACGTGGAATGTGAATTATAACTCAATAAAGTTGTTTAAAAACATGAGATAACACCACACACTAACTTGATTAAAAATTTTAAAACTGACTGTCTTAAGTGTTAGCAAAATGTAAAGTCAATTATAACTGAAAAAACAAGTACAGAGCGCCTAAAAATATCACACACTACTGGAAAGAATAGTACAATAGTACTATATACAATAGTACAATAGTACAGTAACTGTGGAAAACAGTATGAGAGACTCCTAAAAATTTAAACATACACCTACTATAACCAGCCATTTCACCGGAAAATATTTACTAAAGAGAGAAGAAAACACATGTCCAAAAACCAAACAAACAAAAAAATGTCTACAGCTTCAAGCCAGGTAAACCAGTCTCCTAAAAGTGTGAAAAACCACTGTCACTACTAGAATTCAGATAATTCATTTGTGCAGCATTGGCATTCATGGATTTACAAAGTGAATTTTGAGTGCTCACTTCGGCAGCACATATACAAAGTGAATTCTGACTATCTGAAACCATCAAGGTTTTTTCCTAAGAAAACAAACGACTGACCCATAATGCTTGGCCCAACAACTTTTTATCCCCGAAAGGACTCTAGCTGCTGTAACCCCAAACCCAACAGTCAAGGACAGAGAGGACTAAAGGGCGGGGGCTCGTTTCCCGGCCTTCCTATCATAAAGGAGGGTGTTCGAACAAAGAGTAATCTCATATACTTCTTTGAGGGAAAACACGCTTCTAATACAGAAAATATGGTGTAGTTTTTTATTCTCCTCTTTTCATATATTATTTTGAATACATTTCCCATATCATTAAATAGTAAAATGATGCTTAATATCTGCATAACGTATTATCAATGATATTCCTACAAAGACAGGATCTACTTCACTACTATATTTAATATCATCTCACCAATTTTTAAGTGTATTTATTTTTTATTGTTAACAATTATCATGCAGCAAAATCAACATTTTCTCTTAGTGCACAGTTTTATGAATGTTAACACAGGTATAAATTGACTTAACACCACCACAGTCAGGATGGTCTTGATCCCTGTCTCCTGTACAATGTCATAAATCTCTGCCCATAGTTCATCAGGCACTCTATCAGATCTAGTCCCTTAAATCTACTTCTCACTTCCACTGTATAGTCATAAAGGATTTGATTTAGGTCATACCTGAATGGTCTAGTAGTTTTCCCTACTTTCTTCAATTTAAGTCTGAAGTTGGCAATAAGGAGTTCATGATCTGAGCCACAGTCAGCTTCTGGTCTTGTTTTTTCTGACTGTATAGAACTTCTCCATCTTTGGCTGCAAAGAATATAATCAATCTGATTTAGGTGTCGACCATCTGGTGACGTCCATGTGTAGAGTCTTCTCTTGTGTTG